GTTTCTGTCATATTCATCAAAATTTAATCCATATATAGCAGCATTGGATAAAATGGATTGAGATGATTTGCCAAAGACAATCACATCACCAGACTCTGCAACAGCTGACCAAAGTTCTACATTGGGAGTGGGAGAGTATTCCTATACAGTTTTTATTACACACATTTGCTTCTATTAGATTTCGTTTGTGGCTATCATTTGTGTCTGCGGGGGGCATACCAGATATTGATCTTTAATGGCCTTAAACTGACTATGATTTTATGACATTTAGGTAGTATTCCTGTTGCTTACCACATTTATGTTTAATCAATGCATCATTTTACTAAAGAATCTTTATGTTTTATGTGTCACTAAAATTCTATTATGTGTTTCTTTTTTTGAAGAGAATATGTGGAGTGGGATCTAATTGACATCATACTTTTAAATAATTCAGGTTTGGTTGTAACATATTATTAAATTACATGAAAAATAGATTTTATTGTAAAACTTGTTTGACAAATTTGTTATTTAAAAACTAGTGCTTAATCCAAAATTTATGTATTATATCCCCCCCCCCCCCCAAAAAAAAAAAGAAAAGAAAAATTCAAATCTAGAAAAGCACTGCAAAATTGTTTTTCTTGCTCATGACATGGTGATAATTTTTAAAATAAAGTTTTAAACATGATGTTGATATTAGACTTAAAATCATTTGTTATATAAGATGTAGCTTTCAGAAATCAAGTCCTACATGGATTACTTCCCCTTTCTTTTCTACATCATACTACAAGACATAAACTCCCTTCCTCATGTGTCATGTGAGGCCTTAAGACAATGGTTTGAACTTGTGACGGTAGTGGATGTTTAATTTATTCTGTGAAGATGCTGTGTAATGCCTTTTACAGACATTGTTTAGAGCTGGCACAGGGGTGATTTATTATGTGTAGATGTTATTTGATGTCGTATGACAATGGTTGATCTTGTAAAAGCTGTGGATGATTATTGCTGTGTAGATGTTATTTGATGCCGTATGACAATGGTTGATCTTGTAAAAGCTGTGGATTATTATTCCTGTGTAGATGTTATTTGATGCCGTATGACTATGGCTGATCTTGATTATTCTGTGTAGATGGATGTGCTGTGGTTTGAGAAGGAATTAACGAGGACATAATGTACACAATACAAAAAATCGTACACTATGTGTGCAATACATGCGAGTCGGAAATAACTATATGTGACTATAATTTTATTTTAAATGAACAATCCACGTATTAAAGTGTCGATTAATCTATTGTAACAATGGGGACTATGTTTTAAATATTTTGTTGCTAGTGAAATGTTATACACTAGAAAACTTCCTCTTTCACATTTCAAAACTCTATGATAATTAATATAATGTTAATGTATTGTTGCAAGTGATAAGCGAGCTGAAATCTTAGTATTACTTTTGGACAAGAAGTGTTATTATGAATTCATTTTTGTTATAGACAATAAACTATTGTTTTGATAGAACCTTTTACAAGACCGGTAATAAAAAATACTTGTAAAAATTACTATAATATGGTCTGCCAAAGTGACAGATGATCAAAATGTCTAATGGTGTATGTGAAAAAGGAGGATTAAACAAATTAAGTCATTTAACTATGCAAGTGTGATTTTTAGTTTACTAAAGTATGCCATGAGACACGTGATTCAAATCGACCTTTGTTTGAGGGATGTTTAAGTTTCTTTGGTTAATGTTCAAAGTAAGTTGTTAAGTCTCAAAATACAGGAAAATAAAGTATACAAAAATTTATGTTATCTTTGTTATTTATAAAATTGCATAGTATACAGACATTGACTGAGTTGGAGGGCAACATGCATTTTGTTGGACCAAAGAACCAAGCTGTTTTGTTCGATGTATTGACAAAACACATTCTGATTGAGAACACAAACATTAAAAGTTTTGATAAGATTTCCTGAGCAGTTAGGAAAATAGGCCTTGACACTTAATTAGATTGGAGGAAAATGCTACTTAAAACTTATTTTCTCTGCAAATGCTGAATGGGAATTTGATATACAGATTTATCATCAGAAAAACAAATCAAGCTTTGTTTTGGATACAGTCAGGGAATGTTGGGCAGTCGTATGCAGTTATGATTACATGTAGACATGTACGTATGGTTGACAGCCCTTGTTGCAATGTAATATTTAATGACTTAAACGTATAACCACATCTTAATGACAGCATGTTACATCAGTGTTGGAGGAACATTGGCAGGACTGTGATTTGGAGATGCTTTAATCTGATCTGCAGAGAGTTATCTCCCTTAGTTCTGTGTAAATCCACATCAGAGAGTCACTTTCTCAGCTAACCTTTTCCAACAAAGTACCCTGATACATTACATACTACAGGACATGATAAACACTACTTAAAAAGGTAACAGAATTCAAAGTTAATTCAATTATATATGGGTACAGACTATGTACATAATATTAGGCGTTCTTAATATTTAAAATTGTGTTAATAAAAAGGTATTGTAATAGGAGCTTTAAGTTAAACCATTCAGGTTTCATTACAAATCTTTATCAAATTTTGGAAACTTTAACTACATTTCACAAAAAATTTCTTTCTTTTTTAAAGAGCAACGTGTGATCGTTTTGCTATTTGATATTTTCATGCCTCTAAAGGCTTGTTGAATTGGAAATGATTTACAGTGGACCTTCAGATATCCGGACGCCAGATATCCGGATGCTTCAGTATCCGGACGACTTTTCATCGGAACAGAATTTTAAAAACCTTATTTATCTTGTTTAACTGGTGATTCAGATATCCGGATGCTTCACACATCCGGACAAATTGACTGGGAACCAAAGCGCCCGGATAAATGAGGCTCCACTGTATACTGTAGACTTCTTTTGCTATTTGATATTTTCAGGTCTCTACAGGCTTGTTGAATTGAAAATGCTTTGTATTAGAGACTGTCCTCTGGAGATGTTGACAAAAATCATATGATCTGTCACCTGACCTGTTTACGTGACAGAGTCTGTTGTCTGTCTGTATGTGGTATGTGGATTTCTCCACACCAGATACACTCACTCTGCGATCCCTGCTCCTACAACAGATGTTACAGAGTTACAGGGAAGTACTGAGTGGGTCAAGGTCAAGATCTCTGCTTGACGACACTAAAGGTCACCTTGGGCTGGTACAGGGTGTCATGGGACAGGTGGTCAAAAATGTAAAGAGTCTAGTGGTGGAGAAATACAGAACAATTGATAAGGGTAAACAATGCGTATATCTTCCAACTTTTCTTTGCTTTAATAAATTTGTTATGAATGTTACACAGTACTATATAATGTATTTGCGGTGCCCATTATCTCATTTTTTTAAGAAAAAGTTTGTGATTTTGTTCATGAATTTGTTTGTAGAAGGGAGCAAGGAGATTTTTGATCTAGATCATAGTATCCTTGAGAATTTGATGATAGACATAATGCAGACAGATAAAATCCTTCAACTTTCAGCCACCTAGGTAAAGACAAGGATTTCCGAGATATAATTAAGGCATGTTTCTGAATTTTCACTCCTCTTGATCTATATAGCTATTCATAGTGTTCAAATCACTTATTCACTTCCCAATTTTCATAACATTCAGGTATCTATAGAAAACTGGATTTTGATAAAAATAAAAATATATTATTGGTTGCTAGATGAGGGAGTCCTTGGTTACCTACACACAAGACCATGACTTTAACAAGGTCATCTTGTTCTACTCCTGGGTCAAAGACAAACTACTGCCTGTAAAGGGGGACAGGTAAAGAACAGAATCAAGTGATATTCCTGTACTTAATTTATTACAGGTTCAATTCTGAACTGAAAAGAAGTCATTATTTGAATTTTTGTCACATTCAAAGAAATCAATTTATTTTTTTAAAGGCAAAAATAAAGAATTAAAAACAAACTCTGTGATACTTGTTGACTTTGACATTTCCGTTGAAAACTGATGTTATACTAGTATTCTTCAACTGTGAGGTGGAAAAAAACCACAGAGAATATGTAATATTCATAAACACATCTTTCTCCCTGTAGGTTTATGGAGTGTTTTTCACATCTGTACCAAGCTGGAGAAGTTTTGCTGTCAGGATTTGAGGATACAGATCAGTTTCTGGACCTCCCATGGTCACCCACCTCCTTACAGAACCCAGAGTGAGGTTTAGGACTGTTTGACCTTGACTGACCTCTGTGAACTGTCTGACATCCATAGAGAGGCTGCTGACCTCATTATGAAGTATAAAGTCCAGTTACATCTAGACAGGAGGAGTGAACTTGTGTCATTAATAATGAATGCAGGGACTGAAGTAAAAATTGAAAATACACTTGGTATGAATATTGTTTTCCTTTTAACGCAAAATAAATTCTTTTTGTAAGATGGAAATTCTCTTGTAGATGTTAGTTAAGTTTCTCAAGTGACATTGTTTCCTGTCATTCATATCCTCCCTTAATTTTAACCTCATGATTTTTTCCCATTTGCATTACCTATCTCAAAGCTTGAGTTTCAGGTAATCACACAGCAGCTATTACAAAGGTTAGACGACTCCTGGAGCAGTATGAGCTAACCAGAGAAAAAATAAAGCAAGTAGACAATGCAATGGAAACAGACCAATCAGAGAACAGCAATCTATTACAGTGCAGCCAATCAACATCTGGAAATCATGTTGGCCTTTGGCCTCTTCATGATGACATGTTTGTTCTATCGGAACTGAAGCTAGTCAATGGAATGATGTCATCATTAGAATGTACTGCTTCACCAGAGATAGGGGCATTAGTTAACTATGGAAGCCAGTTTTTAGCTGTGTCACAAATGGCTTTATCTAAACGGAAAGCAAAGTCTGAATACAAAAGTCAGGTAATTAAGTGTTTTATAATGAATCTGAGGTCATCGTAAATGAGTAAATGAAGAGCGCTTTGTTGTTAAACTAACATACAAAGAATTTGCCATTTGACAATAATAATGTAATGAACCAAATTTTACGACATTTATTGATAGGAAGATGTCAGTACCAATTTGTGTGAGATACTCTGTGATCTGTACCAACAACTGTGGACCAACACGTCAGCTACGGGACTTAACTGGTTAAACTGGTCTCCATCTTCTCATAGCACGACATCAAGTGTTGATAGAACCAGGAAAAGTTTGGTAAGTTTATATGTAATCAGACACCCAGTATAAAGGGACTGAAATTCATGAACATTCACTTACTAAAACTTGATAACTTTGACCCAATTTTGTTAAGCTACAGTACTGTAAATAGATGAGCATGTTTAATATTTGACATCATAAGCAACATTGAATCACTCGATACAATTAGTATTCTATGCAAAGCAGAAAAAAAAACATTTATTAAATTTTATTGATTTTAAAAGAAAAAAAAATATTTTTCACATGTATATTGGGCATATAAATTAACAATGTTTATTTGAAAAAAAAATCACACATACTGTAATACATGGGTATATTATAAATTTTTTGGAATCTCATTGCAAAGAAGCCTTTTGGACATCATGGGATTTGATCAGGTATTGAAATATGTTCATTTTACATTATTATAATATTGTTTATTTCCTCATATAGGTTACATTAAGAGATGTTCTTTGTTACAGGATATGATCAAGCAAAAGCCCCCCCCCCCCCCCCAAAAAAAAAAAATAAATAAATAAATGGATTATCAATTTTCTATTTTCTGTAAAAACTTGAACACAGAGACAGTCGAAATTTCCCATCCTCCGACCCAGAGGTTATGTTGATCATCAATACAGAGAGCACAGGGATCTGGAGGACATTGTTCTGGTTTCAGGAGGATACACAGGAACTGACCATTGATGTCCAGCAGGTGGACACTAGGGTTATTATAATAGCTATTACACACCAAAATGTGTCCTAAAACATCGGTACATATTTCAGATGGACAGTATTCAGACTGAGAGTGGTGACCAGAGTAAGAGAAGCGGCATTTTCCTGGTGCAGTCACCACCATTATCTTTCTGGCTCCCCAGTCTGATGTACAGATATCACCGTTGATATTCTCTGTGATGTAATGAATACTTTCGTAGAGAGTTTGTCCTTCATCATCCCACTGTATGTCCTGTAACTTCCACCCTTCTCTGTCGTATCTGGTTAGTTTGTTATTCCCCATCCTGACCAGTATGTATCCGTTGATAGGAGAGGAGAAGATGGCTCCAGGTCCCCAGTACCCTGTCTGGATAAGTTTGTTAGTGAACATATCACTAGTTACTCTGTATACAGTTCTTTATTGTAATCTATGTAAAACAGTTCTCCCTCTGTTGTTACTGTGTGGTTACCTTGGAAATTCAAACTAGCAGTGGATATTTTATGTAAGATGTTTCCTTCCGTATCATACTGATTGATATTCCCTACCATTTCACTGGCCCAAAATTTGTTGGGAGGTAAGAGAGACAAATGACATATTCCGTGGCCCGTGATGGTTTTACACTTACTTTTGTAACAGAGGAAAGTTTTAACCTTTCCGATAAATCTACTTCTATTTCACCAAACTGTTTCTTGTTTATTTAGTGTATCTAATGCTGAAATTGGCAGTTTGGGTTCAGAATTGCGGGGCAACTTCATGGTAGCTAATGAAATGTCTAAATGGAACCTCATGAGTTCAGTGTGTTTTATAGAAATTATTTTACTCTTATAGTCTGCAATTATTTCTTCCAAGTTATTTATGTAATTCTCCTTTTTCTTCCCTTGTTCCACAATATCATTTAAAACAGAGTTCTCGATCTCATCCAACTTTTTATTATTGTCAGCTAATATACTTTTAACAACCATCATCTGTTCATCTGCTCTCTTCTTCATGGAATTTCTTATTTTGGCAATTTCTTTCTTGACATTATTTCTCATTGATTCAATGTTAACTTTAGCTTTAGGAATGACTGTTTTCCAGATTTTCGTTATTTTCTTTAAACATTGCTGTAGAATGTCATTGTAGATGGTTTCAAGGTCACTTTTATTATGATCACTGTGATGTTAGGCAAAGCACATAGAACAGATTTGATCCTTGCAAACATCACAGTAAACATCTATACCTTCTGTGGGGTGGATCCTACATTTCCCTGAAGGAAGTTATCTCTTTCTCTTGTGAAAGAGGGCAATATCATGTCCATTGTTCTGCTCTAGATGGTGATGTTTGCATTTGTCACAGATTCGCTGATGACAAGTATTGCAATAAAACTCAGAGAAATTCCTACAGGATTCTGTATCAGACTCGATAAAGTGCTGGGCTGTATCTGGTACTTGGTCCATGACTTATTTCAAACTCTAAAAAATAGTTATTATCAGAGTTTAGGTAATGAAAAAAGTCTAGGTAGTGATATAAGTGTGTATAGTTTTCAACATGCTCAACACTTAATAATTTAAAAGTATTACTTCCTCTGTAGTCTAGTAGATAAATCTCTATCACAATACCTCTAGTCGTGATAAATGTCAGCCATTTGTAACGTACAACTGTATGACGTGTATCCAGGTAGAATGTAATTTACGTCCTTTATAAAAACACATTGTGGCCGAGATACCATAAAAAGGTGAGGTGAACCGAATGACAAAAACATTTAAATCTTCATGATTGTCCTTGTCCTTGCATCAGTGCAAAAATTGAATAAGTCAGAGAATAAATGGGCTAGACTAAAACACATTAGATGTAATTTGAATATCAGGTTTTAAATAATAGAAGAGCAAAGAGTGAATTTATAATCGTTAAACAATACTGGTTCTTTAATAGTTTTGTTTATAATTCTTAAATTTTAGGAATTGGTTTATTAATGATATATTGACCTTGATCATGCTATCTTACTCTCCTTAAACTTAGGAATTTCTGCATTTTAGTGAAAATTCACTCAAAAAACATCCAGCAAAAAACTAAAACTTTAATAAACTTAGCTTGTTCAAGATCAACGCCAGGACAACTGTACAGTACTGTAAAAAAATTGTCAAAAGTCATTCATGATTGATGAAGATTGTGGTATAATAAATGTAACTACAATTCTCAACAGAAGCAACCAAAAACAGAGCATCCTCTCGCATAAAACATCTCTACAAATCAAACAGCGTTAAGTCACTTCCATTGAGAACAGTCTGTTGCAGTGGTTAAAACATCTGCTCTAGACTGGTGAAGTAAGGAGTTGACCCTTATTTCATTGATTTGAATCCCACTGCGGGACATGGAGACAGGTCCTTTAGGTGAGACCATATAAACCGAGTTTTAAGTAATAGTAGATGCAGGCTCCATAGATATTCCTCACTGCTCAATGGCCCCTAATAACTGCAGAAGTGAAGTTTCCTGCTTGCGTTCTCTACCTGAAATGATCAACAAAAATTGGCGTAAATCGAAAGTTTTTACAACACAAGGATCTGTAGCTCTCTGGTTCATTTGTCTGAATTTTCTCAAGCAGAGAGCTACAGTTCTGCAGCTACATCCCAAAGAGCTGGTTAAAGGAGAAAATTTGCATCTCTCTACTTGAAAGTGGTGGTGACTCCATATGAGTGAAAATCTTTTGAAAGGGACGTGAAACATTATACAATTAATCAATCCGTTTAGCATTGGAAACCACACATACAGGATTATTATCATATCTCCTCCAACTCAGTTTCTAGGGGATAATGACAAAAAATAAAATTCATTCCTTAGTGTATTTATATTGGCTTTCAGCCCTCTGATATGGAATAATCTTAAGTTTTGAATGCGAATCCGAAGTCAACATATTTCAATTAATTTCACTTGCATTATAGAGTCCAGAAAGTCTTCAGAAGGCAGTATTAAGTCAGACAACCTACCACCTGATGTATGGAGAATCGGAAGAAACACGGAAGTCATCACTTGACAGACATCTTCCTGTTGATGTACCTCTGAGAGACTTAAAACCAAGGCTACAAAAACTAAAGATTCTGTCACAGCACATCTGTTTTCAAGGCTTAATGCTCTGTAAAGGGAATCTTCAGACTAGGTCAGTTTAACTACCGGTAGATGTTGTGTGTATTCACAAACTTAGTGAATGTACGGAATGTCAATAAAATTAATCTAATGGTAAATATTAAAAAAATGTAAGAAATCATTTGTTTTCCCTTTAGGAAACAGTTGAGGCAGCATATCAGTCAAGTGTTCGTATCCATACTTCACTCCACTGTTGCAATGTTCAAAACAAGGAATTGGAGAACAAATACAAACAAACTGTATCTGAGTTCATCACTTGCCTCCAATACATCATTTCCTCTCATAGGGATGGAGAACAAATAATCCAAACTATAACAGATGTAGATCGCCTGTGTGGAGTTATAGAGCCTGATCTATCTATAGTCCGGGAGTATTTGAGTGGAATACTTGCCGTTTCTGATAATGAGGCTGATATGAGTACAGTAGGGAGACAGTGGGTGTATGTAGGTCTACTGGGCATGCTCCCCCACAAACCAAGGTCCCCTGTTGATAGCATGATCAAGACACAGATCAAATTACAGCTCAAACAAAGGGAGTTAAGATAAGGACAGGTGTACACATAAAAAATATAGATATGTTTTAAAAAATACTGGAATTTGCTTTCTGCTATTGATTATCAATTTTATCTGAAAAAATTATATATAAAGTTTTCAAGTAATAAAAATAAAATTTATAATGATTTAATTTGTTATCAGTTAGAGGAGATCAATGCAGATTGTAAAGGCAAATGACAGGTCTACATCTGAAGAACACGCCCTCTCACCTACAGCATCCTTTGATCCTCCACTTGATTGACCGGAGGGAGATGTTATGGAGTCAGATATAGATCTTATTCTCCCGACAGGCCTTGAGACTACAGTTAAAACAAAGGAAGGTAAGATGAATTATGGAATGTGTACAATAAATATTCAGAGATGCTGAAATAAATAATCTGTTGACTGCTTTCTGCTACTGATTAGAAATGCATGTGTTATCCAAGGTTTGTTATTTTTTTTATTTTGATTCTATAACTGATTTTTATTTTTTGAAGGTATTATAGAATAAATTTATGCACATTTTACTAAGATACTTTTAAAGTTATAAAAAGAATTAATCGAATAATTACTTTTTTGCCAGTTGGAGGAGATCAATACAGATATTGAGGTCAAAGTCATAAACACAGACGAATGACAGGTCTACATCTGCTGGACATGCCCTCCCACCTACACATCCTTTGATCATCCATTTGATTGACAGGAGGGAGAAGTTACAGAGATAGATAGAGTCCTTAAAGTCCCAGCAGGCCTCACCAAGCACCTGTCAGGTGAGTGACGGTGTATTGTTAGCTCTTAGAAATCAAGCCCTACAAAGACTACTTTCCTTTTCATTTCTACATCACAGTGCAAGATTTTAACTCCCTTCTTTATGTGTTGTGTGACGCCTTAAGACAATGCTTTGAACTTGTGACAGCAGTGGATGCTTTATTTATTCTGTATAGATTCTTTGTAATGCCTTTTAAATACATTGTTTAAAGTTGTAACAGAGGTGATTTATTATGTGTAGATGTTATTTGATGTCGTGTGACAATGGTTAATCTTATAAAAGCTGTGGATGATTATTCTGTGTAGATGTTATTTGATGTCGTATGACAATGGTTGATCTTGTAAAAGCTGTGGATGATTATGTCTGTGTAGATGTTATTTGATGCCGTGTGACAATGGTTGATCTTGTGAAAGCTGTAGAAGATTATTCCTGCGTAGATATTATTTGATGACATATGACAATGGTTGATCTTGTGAAAGCTGTAGAAGATTATTCCTGTGTATATGTTAATCTGATGTCGTGTGACAATGGTTGATCTTGTGAAAGCTGTAGAAGATTATTCCTGTGTAGATGTTATTTGATGACATATGACAATGGTTGATCTTGTAAAAGCTGTAGAAGATTATTCCTGTGTATATGTTTATCTGATGTCGTGTGACAATGGTTGATCCTGTAAAAGCTATGGATGATTATTACTGTGTAGATGTTATTTTATGTCGTGTGACAATGGTTGATCTTGTGAAAGCTGTAGAAGATTATTCCTGTGTATATGTTAATCTGATGTCGTGTGACAATGGTTGATCTTGTGAAAGCTGTAGATGATTATTCTTTGTAGATGTTATTTGATGTCGTATGACAATGATTGATCTTGTAAAAGCTATGGATGATTATTCTGTGTATATGTTATTTGATGTCGTATGACAATGGTTGATCTTGTAAAAGCTGTGTATGATTATTGCTGTGTAGATGTTATTTGATGTCGTATGACAATGATTGATCTTGTAAAAGCTGTGGATGATTATTTCTGTGTAGATGTTATTTGATGTCGTATGACAATGATTGATCTTGTAAAAGCTGTGGATGATTATTCTGTGTAGATGTTATTTGATGCCGTGTGACAATGGTTGATCTTGTAAATGCTCTGGATGATTATTCCTGTGTATATGTTAATCTGATGTCGTGTGACAATGGTTGATCTTGTGAAAGCTGTAGATGATTATTCTTTGTAGATGTTATTTAATGTCGTATGACAATGATTGATCTTGTAAAAGCTATGGATGATTATTCTGTGTAGATGTTATTTGATGTCGTATGACAATGATTGATCTTGTAAAAGCTATGGATGATTATTCTGTGTAGATGTTATTTGATGTCGTATGACAATGGTTGATCTTGTAAAAGCTATGGATGATTATTACTGTGTAGATGTTATTTGATGTCGTATGACAATGGTTGATCTTGTAAAAGCTGTGGATGATTATTCTGTGTATATGTTATTTGATGTCGTATGACAATGGTTGATGTTGTAAAAGCTGTGTATGATTATTAATGTGTAGATGTTATTTGATGTCGTATGACAATGGTTGATCTTGTAAAAGCTATGGATGATTATTCTTGTGTAGATGTTATTTGATGTCGTATGACAATGATTGATCTTGTAAAAGCTATGGATGATTATTCTTGTGTAGATGTTATTTGATGTCGTATGACAATGGTTGATCTTGTAAAAGCTGTGGATGATTATTACTGCGTTGATGTTATTTGATGTCGTATGACAATGGTTGATGTTGTAAAATCTGTGGATGATTATTCCTGTGTAGATGGATGTGCTGTGGTTTGAGAGGGAATTTTCGAGGACAAACAATGTATACAATACCAATTTTAATACACTATGTGTGCAATACATGTGAGATGGAAATAATGTGACTAGAGTTTTTAAAGAAAAGTGAACAAACCATGCTAAAAATTATTGATTAATGTATTGTAACAATGGTGACTTTCTTTTTAAATATTTTGTTTTGAGTGAAACGTAATACACTAGAAAAATATTCTTTTTTAACATTTCAAAACTCGGTGAGAATATTAAGGTATGGCTCCAAGTGATAAGAGTGCTGAAAAATTAGTTTACTACTTTTGGATGAGACGTGTGTTTATGAATTTATTTTGTTTATGAATGATTTTTTGTCACATGCAAACAATAATCATTGATTTGTTTTTAACCCAGCATTTTGAAAGAACTTTTTACGAGACCATTTATTAAGATGCTTGTAAAATTAACTAAAATATGGTTTGACAAAGTAATGAAAAATGTAAATTATCTTTATGTTATTTTAGAAAACTGGATATTATACAGCCATTATCTGAGTTCGAAGGCAACATGCATTTTGTTACTATCGTAGCTAGTTTATATAGTATACACGTTTTCAATGACTACGAGGTAAACAGTCAAATTGTTGTCCCGAGGTAGTGGGGGAGACCTGGGAAACTGTTGCCCGAGGCCGAAGGCCGAGGGCAACAGTTTCCCGGGTCTCCCTTACTACCGACGGACAACAGTTTGACTGTTTCACCGAGTAGTCATTGAATAAGTGTTTTATTACCTAACTACTATATAGTTAATTATATTGGAATAAAAAACACACAAACAATCAATAAAAAGTTTTAACAACTTTTTATTCACATACTTGTATATTAATTAGCTTAACACATAATATAAAGATTAAACTAATATTTTTAATTTAAAGTAATACTAGTACTTTAGAAACTGATTGTTTGTGTGTTTTATTTAAATTTGATTAAATATAGAGCAGGTAAATAGTGATGTCGTGATCATCAAAACACTTGAATATTACGATGATGCTTTAAACAGTCAACAGTTCATTCTGTGGACCGGTCAACAGTTCACTGTTTCATGATCACGCAAAAACATAAAGTAAACCGTGAAACAGTTCAAAATGCTAATTATAATTTATATAGTAGGTTAGGTAATAATGTGGTTTGTAAATATATTTATTACTTATGTACATGTATTTCCTGTTATATTTGTAATTAGAAGTAAAGTCGTTAAGGATTTGTAAATGTTTATTAATTATAATGACTTCATTTCAGGTTTTTATTATACCCCACGCAACTAGTTGCGTGAGGTATAATGTTTCTGACCAGTCCGTCAGAGTGTCAGTCAGTCAGTCTTTTTTTTGTCAGCGCAACTCATAAATCGCTGCACAGAATTTCGTCGAACTTTGCAGGTATTTATGACACAATGTGTAGATGTGCATATTACCAAGATATTCCGATTCCGTTATTTTTTCTGTGAATTTCCGTACTTTTTAACTTAGGCATTTGGCCATACCTTGAATATAGAGATAAACAGTTTGTCAGCGCAACACCTCATAAACCACTGCACAGAATTTCGTCAAACTTTGCATGTATTTAGGACACAATGTGTAGATGTACATATTACCAGAAAATTCCGATTCCATTATTTTTTCTTAGGATTTCAACACTTTTCAACTTAGATTTTTGGCCATACCTTAAATATAGAGATGAACAGTTTGCCAGCGCAACTCCCCATTAAC